ACCTCGGAGACTTGACTTCTTCTCGCAAGGAGTTTCCGAATCGCGAGTTTTCCCGGGCCCGCGCCCTGAGGATATCCTTGGGCGTTGGGCCCCAATTCGCAGCCAGGGGGAGATGGTCGGGTGTTTTACGGGTTCCATGGCGCCGCGCACACATCTTGGCAAGGCGCCGCGCGTCCTCGGATGGGTCGACTCCGGTACTATTCCGGGGGGGTACGCTGTGAGCATGCCGAATTTCGACGCAGGGATCGAATGCCATCGCCATTGTTTCTGTCGCCGGCAGCCAAGCAGAGGCGACGACGCCTTCACTCGCGAGTGTAACGCTGTCTTTGGGGAGAATCCAAAACTCCATCAATCTCAGGTTGCTGCCCGAGACTGTCAGGGCCCAGAAGCAATCTCGACTGCCCGTGTATGATCGCGAGCGCGCGGGCGGTGCCCCCGCGGCATCGACGGGCCCCACCGCTATAGAAGCTACCATCGGAGCGCCCCCAGAGCTCAAGAACCCCCATCGCGTTCCCGCGATGATCAACATTGCCCTCATGCCTCGTCTTCCTTATCGCCCTCCTCCGATCCCTTGCTGGGCAACCATGAGCGATGGGTTGCGTGGCGCCCTGTCGAACAGGATCGATTCGATCGACGCTGATCCGCGATCGTTTGGCTCGAGCAATGGTGGTGACGCACGAGGCACATGCTGAGTCGCAGCGCCGCTGGGACGCCGCGGCTGGAGCGCGCGCGCGCACCCCCGTGGCGCTCGAGGTCCAGTTCCAGTTTGGCGCGGCGTCGTTAGGCGCGCCGCAGGCGATCCAGGCGCTGGATCAGCCGCCCCGCCGGGCGTCGGGGAGGCCGTCCTGGGGGCGGCCCCTGCGGTCGCCCCAACAAGGGCCGGCCCCCCGGCGCGTCGCCGGGCGCACCTCGAACGCGCGGAAGGGGATCGCGAACCCCACGGCAAGGCGGCGGGCAGGGGCCAGGCGCCCAGCGCAATCCGGGGCAAGAGCCGCGGGAAGGGCAAGGGCGGAAAGGGCACGGGCGACAAGGGCGGCAAGAGTGCCAAGGCAAAGGCAGCGGCGAAGGCAGCCGCTGCCCCGGCCTCGCCCGGGGGCGCCAGTGGCGCGCCGGCGCCCGGGGGCGGCGGGGCCGCTGCAGTGGCCCCGTCCGCCCCCGGACGCAGGGGCCCGCCAGGGGCGGGCAGGGCAATGGGCCGCGCGCGAAGCTGGAGTTCATCGGGGCCAGCGCGCCCCCGATCTCGCCCGCGCGCCGCCGCTGCGCGACGCCCTGCGCCCACTTGGGAGGGGAGGAGAAGTGTCGGGCGGGATGAGTCCTACAATTTAGCCAGCCTGGGATGGGTGGTTCGTTGGCGCGAGAGGGAGAGAAGGGAGAGGGCCGAAGATTGGCGCGCCGCGTTCGCGCCCGGGGATTTTCGGGCCCCCAGTATTATCTCCCCCTACCCCCTTCCTCCCACCCCCACTCCCTCTTCCCCCCCCGGGGCTGGCTGGTCGCCTACGGGCCCCTCCCCCCCCCATAGCTCTCCCCCGGGCCTCCGGTGCCCTGCCGGAGGTCTTTGCGACCCCTCGCCGTTCTCCGTCGCACTTCCCCCCCCCCCCCGCCCCCCCCCCCGGGACTTTCCCGAGGCCCGCCGGCCGCCCCCCGGGCCACGTCGCGGCCGCCCTATATGCGGGGGCGGAGACGCAAGCGGACAGCGCCTGGCCGACTCGCCGAAGCGCCGCCTGCGGAGCCCACGGGTCTGGACGCCCGAAATGGGCACGGAAAGAATGGGTACAGTGCCCAAAAGCAGTTCCTGCTCCTTTTGAACAGGACTCGCTGTGCCACGCCGCCGCGGCCTGCGCCCATGTGAGACAGAGGGCCGCCTGTTTGCTGTTGGGCATTGTACCCATTTTTTCGGTACCCATTTCGGGCGTCCAAAACGGGGAGCAGGAGGGCGCTGTCCGGGGGGCGCGCGGCGGCCCGCCCCGCGGAGCCTGGCTTCGCCGATGTCCGGGGAGCGCCACAGGCCCGCGCCCCGCTGCGTTGCTGCCCCCTGGGGCACGAGCGGCGTGGCCACTCGCCACAACCCCTCCCTGCGCCTCCTCCTCCTCCTCCTCCTCCTCCTCCTCCTCCTCCTCCTCCTCCTCCTCCTCCTCCTCCTCCTCCTCCTCCTCCTCCTCCTCCTCCTCCTCCTCCTCCTCCTCCTCCTCCTAGTCCTCGCCGTAACCATTCGAAAAACCACTTTGCGTTTCGGGGAGGTTCTCAGGTTGAGGAAGTGATATTTCTTGAGAAACGCAACGAGTGAGACCCCGAGAACCCGCTCCTCACTTTCGCTGGAGATATCTCCAAGGCCAATGATTACACGGACCGCTGGGGCGTTGCTCAGGCCTGCTGGAAGCACTTGATCCCGAAGGTTTTCTCGGCGGGATGGTTTCGACATATCGGGGGGGGCACGGCGACCGTCTCACTTGATGACCTCGCGAGTTCGGTTTCTGCTGGGCGAACGCGTTCTCTGGCGCAGAGGGGCCATGCGGCGCCGTTCTCGTTCAACCTTGAGCTCGTCATCCTGATTGACCAGTTCGTCAGGAGATGCGAGAGCGCGAGAGGCAGCGAAGTTTCAGCTGGCAAGTATCCACCAGCCGTGGCCAGGACCTGTATATACCCATCCTCTGTTTCGCGGACAATTTCTGGACCTTGGGAAATGACCAGAAATCGGTTGCAGATCTGACGCGAACGCGGCCACGAGGTGGATCTTATTGACTGCCAGTGGTTTACTACATCGCTTTCCGAGGTCACTTGTTGGAACGAGACCGTCAGCATCTACGGTCAGGATATCACGAGGGTCCCGAGGCAGGAGGGCATCCAGTTTTTCAGGGGCGACGATGTCACGCGACGGACACGACGAGACGGCGACGGAACATCGCATATCTCAAGCCTGGAAGACGTGGTTCCGTTGGCATTCAGTCTTTTGCCAGCAACACGCTCCGGTCGAGAAGCGTTTGTTTTTGCGCGACGGCGCAGAGAGAAGCAGTTTGTTCTGGGGCGCCACGGGGTTGACGCTGAGAAAGGATCAGCTCGCAAAGCTCAGGGGCTTCCATGACACTTTGCACAAACGAGTTTTCGACTTCAGGAAAAGACAACCACGAACCGTGGGCTGCGTTCATGGTTCGGACCTGCGAACAAATCAACGCGGTCAGCTAAATTCGACATATTCTTGGTTGGAACGACTATATTGTGCAGATGCACCATCGTGGGCAGGTCGTCTTGAACTTCCGAGTGTTACAGGCCTCGGAACAAATCAGCGAACACTCATGCCACATTCATCCGTCAACGCCTCCTCCCCTCCCCCAATGTTCGAAGTTGGCGGTCTGACGAGATGCACTTCGACCGCAGTGTCCCCCGCGCCTGCCAACATTGAGCTTGGGGGGAGGGGGAGTGTTCAGTAATTGTTTCCTTCTACCGTAGGGATCCCTCCCGTCTGAGCCCTCAGGCCCTCCACTTTCACGACGCCATGCTTCCCCCCCGTTTGGAGCTGGCTCCCGGACGCGGGCGTCGAGGCCACGCGCGGGAGCTTCGGCCCTGGAGGTCGGGGTCTTTCCCTTGTCGCCGTCCTCGCCTTCCCCAATCCTGGAAACACTTCTTGCCCAGCACCGGGAGCGTTGGCTACACAATTGGAACGCGGCGTTCCGTGGTGTCCGTGTGCACGTGTCTCACGTTTTGTGGTTCCCAGTAGGCTCTCGATGTTCCGAGCTTTGCTCTGGTCACGGACGAACTTCTCGAGGAATATACATACATTTAAGTGTCGTCATTCTCATCGCCATCTTCACCATCACCATCACCACTACTATTATCGTCATCATCATCGTCAGCATCGTCACCATCACCATCATCAGCATCATCATTGCCGTTGCGTTGTTCCTCGTCCCCCTCCATCATCACTCTTTTCCTCGCCTCCACCTCGCGCCCCCCCTTCTTTCCCTGGGGCCAGCGAGGACGGAGGGGAGGGAGGAGGATGAGGAAAGAGGCCGTAGACACGGGAGGGGGTGGGGGGAGGGAGGGAGGGAGGGCGGGACGGGGAGGAGGAGGAGGAGGATTGGCCCCCCGTGGCCTTGGGGCGTGGCTGCGCGCCCTCTGATGGCACATGCGTGTGCGGCGCTGCTGGGCAGGCCCCGTGGGGACGAGAGCCTCCCGAAGACACCGCCCAGCCAGCTCACAACCCCAACATCCCCACCCCAGGGCGGGCGGGCGGGGGACCGACCCCGTCGGCTGCCAAGCGGAGTTCGGCCATCACCTTGGACAGGGTGTTCGGCTGATAGTTGCACCCCGCCCCAACCAGGCGGACCGCAGGCCAGCGCACAACCAACCTGCTCGCAACGGCACGGCGCGACGGCACTCCGTGACGGCACGGCACCAACGGCATTGCGTGACGGCGCGGCACCACGGCACGGCGCGGCACCGCCACTCCCCGCGCGTGACGGCACGGCACCACGGCACTACGCAACGGCACGGCACCACGGCACGGCGTGGCATTGCCCGTTTCTGCCCTCGGGACGACGGACGTCATCAATCATGATGTGGCACCGCAGGTGCTCGAGCGCGGCCGCGAACCGCCACCCTCTAGGAAGGTATTGTGGGCTCAATGACCTCAATCGCAACCGCCGCCTCTGCTACCAATCCTCCTGCCGCTACTCGAAGAGTACGGTTCAGGAGGAGGAGGAGGAGGAAGAGGTTGTGGAGAAGGAGAAGGAAGGGGAGGAGGAGGAAGAGGAGGAGGAGGAGGAGGAGGAGGAGGACAACGACGACGACGACGAGAAGGACGAGGAGGAGGAAGCGGGAGGAGGAGGAGGAGGAGGAGGAGTTGGGAGGAGGAGAAGGAGGAGGAGGAGAAGAAGAAGAAGGAGGAGAAGGAGAATGAGAACGAGGCGGGAAGAGCAGAAGGAGGGGGAGGGGGATGATGGAGGCGAGGCCCCCTGCCTCCTCAGAAGGCCACACTGCCCACCTTCCGCGCGGCCGCCGGGCAGGATCGCCTGCGCATGATCGCGGAGGCGCGGGGACGGGAAGCGCCTGGGGAGGGCGGCGGAGCGAAGATTATAGTCAAGACGCTGAAATAAGAATCGTTTTGGGACTAGAAGGGGTTCGCTGTTCTTTTCGGCGACAAGCCCGGTGAGAAGTGAGAACGGGCGGGCTTGTTCAGAAGGCTCGGAAGTCCCCCGGCCTTCTGAGAAGTTTTCTAAGCTTTCCCCGAAGACACAGAAAAATTCTCAGAAGGCCGGCGGGTTTCTGACAAGTCCCTCCGCCTTCTGAGAGGGCCTTCTTCTTCTCACTTACCCCCCTCGCTCGCCGCCGATCCGCAGGTCACTCCGTGGTTGTTCCTTTAGCCCTCCTCGTGCACCCAGACTATGTCGGCTCCAGCAGAAGGCACCGTTCCTTGCTTCGCGCTCCTCCCGGCCGTGCCATGGCTGCAGCTGCGTGCGGATGTTCACGTCCGGCATTTCGGACAAGGTTTGGGAGATCGGGCGTCTCGTAATGAGGGGGCGATACATGGGCTTGGCATCGCTCGGACGTGTGTATTTCTCCTTCGGCGAGGACCATCGAGGAGCATCCTTGACCAGCTGGCGAAAAAGCCACGCACGAAACCGAAAAATTACACAGGGAATGGACGGCCGAGCGATGGCGAGAAGAAACCACCGACAAGAAGAGAGGGGCCCTCGAAGTCGAAGAGATCCTGGCCAGAGCACGCCCCAGGACAGTCCCAAAGCTCGAGCCTGAGGGAGGGGGGGGGGGCTACACTTCAGTCGGGCATGTCCCTCTACAGGAGGAATATTCAAAAATTGTCGAAGAAATAGTCTGGGGGTGATGTTTCGATTATGTTTGATTATGCTTGAATATTGTTTGGCTATTTTTCGTTTTCTTCCAAAATCCGCTTGTAGGAAGACATGCCCGACTGAAGGCTGCACCTCTGGTGGCGCAAAGAGATCTGGGCATAAGCAATTTGGAGTCCAAAATCCGGATAGCAGGGCGCCAGAAGGCGTGGAAGGACCTCTTGAAGAATTTTGGAAGCTCCTGGCGAGAGCTTCCGAAGGAGCTCCTGGAAAGCTTCCGGGCACATGTATTGGGAAATGCTTAGAAAAGGCCTGCCGGAATTGGAACACGCCACAATCTCAAGCAATTCGCGCCGGAGATTCTTGCCGGAAGCCGGAACGAGCTCCAGGGTTACCGTGCGGTTCCGGCTTCTTAATCTGGAGCCCTTTAGCTCTCAACGAGCTACCCGAGAAAAAATGATGGTGGGCGGGCCGTCTGAAGGTCACGGGTGCTTATTTTGCCAGTGGGCCAAGAATTAAGAATCGCTAGCCTTGTCACGGGCATTTCAAGGAGGCGGGTCCTTGTGGCGAGCGGCGCCCAGGAAGCAGGAATCAGAGAGGAAGCAAGGGTCGCGATCTCCGGGCTGGGGCCACGGGGGAAGGTGGTTCCCCGTGGCGAGCGACACCCAGGAATCAGGGGTCGCCATCTCGGCGCCAGGGCTACGGGGGAGGGTGGGTTCCGTGGCAAGCGGTCGCCGTCTCCGCGCCGGGGCCACCGGGGAGAGTAGGTCCCCGTGGTGAGGGGGCCACATGCAAACCCTACCCCTACCGCCCACGAAGTGAACCCCACCCTCCCCCTCAGAATCGTGGGGGGTAGGGGTAGGGTTCGCATGTGGCCCCCTAGTGGTGAGCAGCACCTAGGAATCAAGGGTCGCCATTTCCGCGCTAGGGCCACTGGGAGGGGTGGGTCCCCGAGGCGAGCGGCACCCGCGGGTCACCTGTTGTGCGCGCGCCGCATGGGAAAACGTATGGAGTGACAATGCGTCGACTCATGTTGAGGCCCAGAATGCAAGTGAAACAGTTAGCTTTTCTCAACCAGTTTTCTGGTGACCCATTCGTCCGAGGGTCACCTGTTGCGCGCCCGACGTATGCGAAACGTATCGATTGGCAATGCAGCGACTCATGTTGAAGCCCACGATGCAGGTGAAGCAATTTGTTCTTTCTCAACCAGTTTTCCGGTGACCCCATCCGGCCGTGGGTCATTTGTTGCGCGTGCGCCGTACGGGAAACGCATCGGGTGGCAATGCATCGACTCATGTTGGGCCCAGAATGCAAGTGAAACAATTGTTTTGTTTCAGCCAGTTTTCTGGAGGCCCATTCGTCTGCGGGTCACTTGTTGCGCGCGCACCGTATGGGAAGCGCATTGGGTGGCAATGTGTCGACTCATGTTGAGGTCCAGAATGCAAGTGAGACAAATGGTTGTCCTCAACCAGTGGTCTGTCGACCCACCCGTCCATGGGTCATCTGTTGCGCGCGCGCCGAATGGGAAAACGTATCGAGTGACAATACACCAGCGCACGTTGAGGCCCAGAACGCAAGTAAAACAAATTGTTGTTCTCAACCAGGTGTCTGGTGATCCACCCGTCCGTGGGTCATATGTTGTGCGCGTGCCGTAAAGGAACCGTATCCAAATGCAATGCATCGAGTAATGTTGAGGCCCAGAACGCAAGAGAAACAATTGTGTTGTATCAGCAACTTTTCTGGTGGCCCGCCCGTCCGTGGGTCACTTGTTGCGTGCAAGCCGTACGGGAAATGCATTGAGTCGTAATGCATCGATTCACGCTAAATTACAGAACGCACATGAAACAGCTCGTTTTTCTCAACCAGTTTTCTGGTTACCCACCCGTCCGATGGTCACCTGTTGTGCGCGCGCTGTATTGGAAACGCGTTGGGTGGCAACGCATCGGATCATGTAGGCACCCAGAATGCAAGTGAAGCAATGGGTTTTTCTCAACCAAGTTTCTCGTAACCCACCCGCCCGTGGGTCAAGTGTTGCGCGCGCGCCGTAGGGGAATCGTATTGAGTGGCAATGCATCGATTCATGTTGAGGCCCAGAACGCAAGTAACACAGTTGGTTTTGTCTCAACCAGTTTTCTGGTGAACCCCCCCTGTCCGTGGGTGACCTGTCGTAAGCGTGCCGTACGGGCAACGCTTTGCGTGGCAGTGCATCCATTCATGTTGATGCCCAGAATGCAGGTGAAACAGTTCGTTTTTCGCAACCAGTTTTACGGTGGCCCGCCCGTCCGTGGGTCATTTGTTGCGCGCGCCGTATGGGAATCGTATCGAGTGGCAGTGCATCGCCTCACGCTGAGGCCATGATTGCAAGTGAAACAACTGCCGATTCGTCCGTGAGTGACCAGGTTCTGCGCCTTCCGTAGTGGAAACGTATTAGATGGCAATGCGTCGGCTCATGTTGGGGCCCAGAATGCAGGTTTAACAACTTGTTTGTCCCGACCAGTTGTCTGGTGACCCACCCGTCCGTGCACCTTTTGCCCGCGCGCCGAATGGGAAACGTATTGAGTGGCAATGCATCAACTGCTGTTGAGGCCCAGGTTACAAGTGGAGCAATTTGTTTTTCTCCACAAATGTTCCGGTGACCCACCCGTCCGTGGGTCACTTGTTGTGCACGTGCCGTCTGGGAAACGTATCGGGTGGCAATGCATCGGATCTTATTGAGGCCCAAACATGCAAGCTAAACAAGTGGTTCATGTCAACTATGGGAAACGCATAACCTCATGTTGAGACCCCGAATGCACATGAAACAACTGGTTTTTCGCAACCAGTTTTCTGGTGACCCACCCGTCCGAGGGTCACCTGTTGTGCACGCGGCGCACTGGAAACATAATGAGTGGCAGTGCATCAACCAGAATGCAAGTGAAACAATTGATTTGTCTCAACCTGTTTTCTGGTGACCCACCCGTCCGTGGGTCACCTGTTCCACGCGCGCCGTATGGGAAACGAGTCGGGTGGCAACGCATCGCCTCATGTTGAGGCCTAAATTGCAAGTGAAACAAACGGTTTCTCTCAACCAGTTTTCTGGTTACCCACCCGTCCGTGGGTCTCATTTTGCGCGCGCCGAATGGGAAACGCATTGAGTGGCAATACATCGCCCCATGTTGAGGCCTAGAATGCAAGTGAAACAACTGGTTTGTCTCAACCTTCTTTTGGTGGCCCACCCTTCCGTGGGTCACCTGTTGTGCGCGCGCAGTAAGGGAAAACATATTGAATGGCAAAGCATCGACTCATGTTGAGGCCCAGAACGCAAGTGAAACAAATGGTTTTTCTCCACCACTGCTTTGGTAACCCACCCTTCCGTGGGTCAGTTGCTGCGCGCACACGAAACACAGCACATGAAACAGCTCGTCTTCTCAACCAGTTTTCTTGTTGCCCACCCGTCCGATGCTCACCTGTTGTGCGCGCGCCGTATTGGAAGCGCGTTGGGTGGCAACGCATCGGATCATGGGTTTTTTCCTCTTTTCTCAACCAGGTTTCTCGTAACCCACCCGCTCGTGGGTCAAGTGTTGCGCGCGCCGTACGGGAAACGCATTGAGAGGCAATGTGTCGGCTCATGTTGAGGCCCAGAATGCAAGCGAACAAGTTGGTTTGTCTCAACCTTTTTTTTGGTGGCCCACCCTTCCGTGGGTCACCCATTGTGCGCGCGCCATACGGGAAACGCGTTGCGTTGCAATGCACCGGCGCATGTTGAGGCCCAGATTTGAAGTGATACAATTGTTTTTCTCGACCAGTTCTTTGGTGACCCACCCGTCCGTGGGTCACCCATTGCGCGCACGCCGTACGGGAATCGCATCGGGTGGCAACGCATCGCTTCATGTTGAAGCCCAGAGTGCAAGTCGAACCATTGGTTTTACTCAACCAGTGTTCTCTTGACCCACCCGTGCATGGGTCACCGGTTCCGCGCGCGCCGGATGGGAAACGTACGGAGTTGCCATGCATCGCCCAATGTTGAGGCCCAGAATTGACGGTGAAAAAGCTGGCTTCTCTCGACCAGCTTTCTGGTGATCCACCTGGCCGTGGGTCACCAGCAAACCTGACGAACCAACAACACGCACCCATACCCATAAGGGGGTCGGAGAGGGCTATGGGTGCGTGTTGTCGGATGGGGGGCCCCGCTCGAACGGGAGCGTTCCCCAGGGTCCGACAACCCGCACCCATACCCATAGCCA